TCACCACCCTTCCTTCAATCCTTCCTTCCTTTCTCCCCTTCCTCCCTCCCTTCATTCCTTCCTTCCTCTTCCCCTTCCCTTCCTTCATTCTTTCCTCCCTCCCCTCCTTTCTTTTCCTTCCTTTCCTTCCCTATCCTCTCCCCTCCCTCCTTTAATTTCCTTCCCTTTTTTTGCTTCCTTCCTTCCTTCCTTCCTTCCTTCCCTCTTCCTTCTTCCTTCCCCTTCCTTCATTCCTTCCTTTCCATCCTTCTTCCCTCCCCCCTCCCTTTTTTCCTCACCCACCCCCCTCCTTTTCTTCCCTTCCCCTCCTTCCCTATTTCCCCTTCTTCCTTCTACCTTCCCATTCCCCCCCTCCCTTACTCCCCTCTCCCCTTCTTTCATTTCCTTCCCTTTTTTCCCTTCCCTTTTTCTCCCCCATAAATTTTTTTCCCTCCCCCCTTCCCCATTCCCACCTTCCCTTCCTCTTTTCCCTCACCCCTCCCTTCATTTCTTCCCCCCCAAATCCATCCCATTCCCTCCCCCTTCCCCCTTTTCCTTCTCCCCCCCACCCCCCCTTCTTTCCCATCCATTCCCTCCTTTTCCTATCCCCCCTTTCCCTTCCTTCCCCCCCCCCCCCTCCAACAACTCCTTTCTCCCCCCCACTCTCCCTCCTCCCTTTTCCTTCCCAATTTTCTTTTCCATACATCCCTTCTCCCCTTTCTCCTTCCTCCTCCATCATTTCCCCCTTCATTCTTTCCCTTTTCTTTCCTTTTTTCCTCTCTTCCTCTCCCAGACCTTCCTCCCTTCCTCCTCATCCTCTTTCTTCATCCTTTTTTCCTTTTAATCCCCTCCTTTCCTTTCCTTCCCCTCCCTTTTTTTCCCCCTTCTCTTCCCCCTCCCTTTATTATTTCTCCTTTCCCCCTTCTTTCCTCTTCCCTCCCTCCTTCCTTTTACCCCCCTTCCCCCCATCTTTTCCTTCCCTCCTCTACTCCATCTCACTTCCTTCCTTTCCTACCTCCCCTCATATTTCCCCTTCCCATTCTTCCCTCCATCTACCCTTCCCTTTTCCCCTTCCTTCTTCTTCCTTCCTCTTTCCCTTCCCCCCCCCCCCCTCCTTGGCATTTTCCTTCCTTTCTTCCCCCCTCTCCTTTCCCTTGCTTTTCCTTTCCTTCTCCCCCCACCCCTTCCCTCCCCTCTTTTTAGCTTTCCCTCCCTTTCCTTTTTTTCCTTTCCTCCAATCCTTTTCCTTCCTTCCTCCCTCTCCATTCTATTCCCTCCCTTTCTCTTCCCTTCTTCTTCTTTCCCCTTTACCTTCATTTACTTCATCCTTGCATTTTCTTCCCTCTTCCTTCCTTCCTTCCCTTCCTTCCTTCCTTCCTTCCTTCCTTCCTTCCTTCCTTCCCTCACCCCTTTCTTCCTTCCCCCCCATCCCCATTACCCTCTTTTTCCTCCCTTCTTCTTACTCCCTTCCTCCTTTCATTTCTCTTCTTCCTTCCTCCCATCTCTTTCTTTCCTTCCTTATTTTTTTCCCTCCCCTCTTCCTTCTTCCTGTACTCCTTCCTCCTTCCCTCACCCTCCTTCATTCCTTCTATCCCCCATCCATTCCCCCCCCTCCATTTTTTTATTTCTATCCCTCCCTTTCTCTTCCTTCCTTCTTTCATCCATTTCCCTCCCTTCCTTCAATCTCCTTTTTCCCCCTTCCTTCCTTCCCTCCCTCCCTCATTCCTTCCCCCCTTTTTCTTTATTCCTTCATCCTTTCCTTTTCCTTCCTTCCTCTCTCCATTCTATTCCCTTCCCTTTTCTCCGTCCTTCCTTTCTCTTCCCCTTACTTCCTCCTTCCTTCCCCCTTCCTCCCTCCCTCCCTAGCTTCCTCCCTTCTCTCCTTTTCCTTTTCCTTCCTTCCTTCCCCTTCCTTCCCCTTTCTTCTCCATTCCTATTCCCATTTTCCTAGCTTCCTCCCTTCTCTTCCTTCATTACTTCCTTCCATTCCCATTTTCATTCATTCCTTTCCTTCCTTCCTCCATTCCCCCTCACTTCTCCTTCATTCCTTCTATCCTCCATCCATTCCCCCCCTTTTTTTTACTTCTATCCCTCCATTCTTTCCTTCCTTCTTTCATCCTTTTTCCCTCCTTCCTTCCCTCCCCTTCCCCCTCCTCCATCCATTTCCTTCCTTTCACCATACATCCCCTCCTTTTCTTCCTTCCATCCATCCCCTCCCTTTATTCTTCTCCTTCCTTCCCATTTTTTCCTCTCCTTTCTTCCTTCCTTCCTTCCGCTCCATCCCCTCCCACCTTTTCCTCTTTCCTCCCTTCCCTCCTTTCATTTCCTTCCTTCCCCCTCCCCCCCTTTTATCTTCTTTTCCAATTCCTCCCTCCCCTCCCTCCCCCTCCTTAATTCCCCCTTTCCTTTTTCCTTCCTCCATCCATTTCCTTCCCCTCTCCCTCCTCTCATTCCCTCCCCTTCCTCCCTTCCTTCCCCTTCCTTCCTTCCTTCCTTCCTCTTCCTCCCTTCCTTCCCCCTTTACCTCCTCATTACTTCATCCATCCATTTTCTTTCCTTCCCTCTTCCTTCCCTTCCTTCCTCCTTCTTCCTTTCCTTCCTCTTTCCTCCCATCCCTCTTCTTCCCCTTTTTTTCCTCCTTCCTTCCTTCCTTCCTCGTCCCCTTTCCGTTCTTCCTCCATTATTCCCTTCCCTCCCTCCCCCCCTCCCTAGCTTCCTTCCCTTTCTTCCTTCTCAGAAAACTCTTTTCCTTCATTCCTTCCTCTATCCATTTTCATTCCTTCCTTCCTTCCTTTCCCTTCCTTCCTTCCTTCCTTCCCCCTTCCCTTCCTTCCTTCCTCTTCCTTTATCATCCTCCTATCCCTCCCCCCCCCCCTCTCTCTCTCCCTCCTCTCCCTTCCTCCCCCTCCTTCCTCCCCTCCCCTCCTTTCATTTCCTTCTTTTACCTCCCTTCCCTCCTTCCTTCCCTCCCTTTCCTTCATTCTTTCCTCCATCCATTTCCTTCCTTCCTTGCTTCATCCATTCCCTCCCTCCCTTACTTCCCTTCCCTTTCTTCCCTCTCTATCCATTCCCTTTCCTTCCTTCCTTCCTTCCTTCTCTCCCCTCCCTTTCCTCCATCCATTCCTTCCTCCATTCCATTCCCTTCCTTTCTCCCATCCCCTCCCTTCATTCTTTCCTCCCTCCCCTCATTTCATTTCCTTCCTTCCTCCCTTCCCCCATTCTTTCGTTCCCCCCCCTTCTCATCCTTCCTTCCTCCTTCCCTTCCCTCCTTCGCCTCTCCTTCATTCCTTCCTCCATCCATCCCCCCCCTCCCTCCTTTTTTCCTATTTCCTTCCCTCCCTTCTTTCCTTCATTCCTTCCTTCATCCATTCCCTTCCTCCCTCCTCCCTCTCTTCCTTCCTTCCTTCCTTCCTTCCTTCCTTCCTTCCCCCTTTCTCCATCCATTTCCTTCCTTCCTCCATCCATTCCCTCCCTCCCTTTTCTTCGTCCTTCCTTCCTTCCCTTCCTTCCTTCCTTCCTTCCTTCCTTCCTCCCTCTCCTTCCTTCCTTCCTTCCCCTTTCTTCCTCCATCCATTCCCTCCCTCCCTCCCTCCCTAGCTTCCTTCCTTCCTTCTCCTTCCTTTTCCTTCATTCCTTCCTCCATCCATTTTCATTCCTTCCTTCCTTCCTCCATCCATTCATTCCCTCCCCTCCCTTTTCTTCTTTCCCTTCCTTCCTCCATCCCCTCTCGTCATTCTTTCCTCCCACCCCTCCTTCCTTCCCTCCTCTTTCTTCATCCATTCCCTCTCTCCCTTTTTATTCCCTTCCTTCCTTCCTCCCTCCCTCCCTTCCTTCCCTCCCTCCCTCCCCTTCCTTCCCTCTTCCTTCCCCTTCCTTCCTTCCTTCCTTCCTTTTCCTTCATTCCTTCCTCCATCCATTTTATTTATTTCCTTCATTCCTTCCTTCCTCCATCCATTCCCTCTCTCCCTTTTCTTCCTTCTCTTCCTTCCTCCCCTCTCTTCATTCTTTCCTCCTACCCATCCTTCCTTCTCTCCCCTTCCTTCCTCCATCCATTTCCTCCCTCCCTCCCTTTTCTTTCTTTCTTCCTTCCTTCCCTCCATCCATTCCCTTCCTTCCGATATATAAGGGGTACAGGTTCTGTTTATTCATCCCAATCTAATCACAGGCCAACATATACTAGTGCTCCCTGTTCACTCCCTACTGACACTGTCCACTGCCCCCACAAAATCATTGTGAAAAAAATACAGAAATAAATTGTAAAAAAATAATTAAACATTAGAAAATAAAAATTTAAAAATTTCTGACACCCACACCATTGCTCTACTAACACCACCCACTTGCCACCCAAAATCATTTTGAAACAAAATGATAAAAATAATAAAACATTAATTTGTAAAAATAAATCATAAAATTGTAAAAAAAAAAAAATAATACTGATAAAAATGAAGAATTACTGACACCACCTACTGACACCACCCTACACATACTACCCACAGCCATACACTCCGCAGTCCTCTCCCTGTACATACTACCCACCGCCATACACTCCACACTGTACATTCCCTATTTAACATTACCTCATTCTGCACTATATGTCATCTCAGACACTATTTAACCATACCCCTTTTAAGCCATGCCCAATTTTTAGCGCAATTTAAAACACACCCCCTCCTCTCTCATCCCTTCCTCTCTCTCTCACTCCTCCTCCTCTCTCTCTCTCACTTCTCCTCTTTTTCTCCCTCTCACTCCCCTCTCTCTTTCACTTCCCCACATGGCAAACCATCTTTAAACCTGGAACCTATGGAAAGAAGCCGGGAACATTCATGCAGACTTTGCTGCAGTAAATATTTAAATGCCCCATCTATGCAGCTGAGCTGCAATATGTAGGTAGGGTGTTGTGTGAGTGTGTCTCGAGTGTAGGCGGGGGAACAGAGGGCCCCATTATCTCTTACTGCCCAGGGGCCCCATGAGTTGTCAGTCCGCCCCTGTAGGGCACAAACCAATCACAGCCTGCCTCTAACACACACTCCCTCCCAATTACAGCCTGCATCTGGCACCCCCCTCCCCCCCACCCCGATCAAGCACATCCTCCATCGTGCCTGAGGCTGAACAGACTATGGAATACAGAAACACTTTGTATCTGCCCAGTATCCTGTAACCAGCCACCCACTATCAGGAATTAAATTACTAATACTAACTGTATTAGAAAGTGTCTATAACATTATGTGTTCACAACTAGTTTAACTCCATGGGAAGGAACAACCTTACCCCTTGCAGTAGTACAGCCCCCTCCACTGCCAGGGTTAAATGGGTGCTTAGGTCTAGGGGATTACAAATGCATTTACTGACCCATTCTCATGTTCCTGCAGGAGCCAGCAATCCCCTGTTCTTCAGTGGGGAAATGTCCCTCGGCATCCTCACATCCAATGCAAGGCTATGGAGTCTTCACTGGACTTGATGATGTCAGAGGACCAGGAGGGAACCAGTCTTACAGTGGAGAGGGAGCCTGTGGGAATGGAGCATCAGGTGAATACAATGGAAAATTGTATGAAATATTTACTGTAATATTCCTTTCCTGGCACCAAAATAGCAGAATACATGTGGTAATATGCTGCCTTGTTGACACAACAAATTGCTTTTCTCATTCCCCTAGACAGAAACAAGAATTTAACTCTTGCGGTATGGGGGCAGACCAATTGTAAGGGAGAATTTATACATTCCCTGGAGTTCAGTTTTAACTTTAATTGGGCTTTGAAAAGTAAAATAAACGTTCATCTTCCTTGATGAGTCTTTACTCCTTAATGCAGTATTAACTGCATGCCGCCCAGCCACTGTAGATATACGGCGGCAGGGCAGCACTCGCAGGCAAAACCACGTTTTAAGATGTGTGTTTTGTAAACAAATAGGGGGTGCGCGCGAGGCGCGCCACCGCCCTATTTGTCCCGCGGATCACCACCGCAGATGTCAGTCGCCGGGTCACAGCCGCTCGTTAGTGGCTATGTTCCGGCGATCGGCGGCAAACAGTGACAGACAGCACAGCTGCAGTAGCTGTGCTGTCTGTCACTTCCCTGTCAGCTCGAGGATGAGCTGATCGAGAAAGAACAGTTTCTCTTTCTCGATCAGCCTTGTCCTGTGCAGCACACACCCCCGTCCCCTAGTAAAACACTCCCCCTCACTCCTATAACCCTTCCCTGCAAAATAAAGTTAACCCCTTCCTCCCCATTGCCATTAGTACAGTGTCAGTTTTTTTTTTTTTTTGCACTGATCACTGTATTAGTGTTTTTGGGGATGTCAGTGACCCCAAGTCAGTACCCCCCAATGTCAGAATGTCCGCCGCAGTCCCGCCATAAGTCGCTGGTCGCTGCCATAAGTCCCTGATCGCCGCCATAATTCGCTGATCGCCGCCATTATTAGTATGAAAAAAAACCTAAAAATCCCAGTATCTTTCCCGCCATTTGTAAACTCTATAACTTTCACGTAAACCAATTAATTTACACGTATTGGGTTTTTTTTTTAGCAAAGACATGTCGCAGAATACATTTTGGCAGAAATTTATGACTAAATTTGATTTTTGCATTTTTTTTTTTACTGGACATGTTTTATAGCAAAAAGTCCAAAATATTGTTTTTTTTTTTCCTCAAAATTGTCAGCCTTTTTTTTATAGCGCAAAAAATAAAAACCGCACAGGCGATCAAATACCACCAAAAGAAAGCTCAATTTGTGGGGAAAAAAAGGATGTAAATTTCATTTATGTACCGTATTGCATGACTACGAAATTGTCCGTTAAACTAGCGCAGCGCTGTATAGCAGAAAAATGGCGTAAGTTGCAGTATTTATACCATAGTTTGTAAACGCTATAACTTCCACACAAAGCAATCAATATACACTCATTGGGATTTTTTTTACCAAAAACATGTAGCAGAATACATTTTGGCCTGAATTTATAACCAACTTTGAGTTTACTACCGTATTTTCCAGCGTATAAGACGACTGGGCGTATAAGACGACCCCCTACTTTTCCTGTTAAAATATAGGGTTTGAGCTATACTCGCCGTATAAGACTACCTCTCTTCCAACGTACACCAAATAAAAATGAAAAAACATCAGATTTGATTTCAATATGGTATGCTATTTCAGTATGGTATTCCAATGATGGGACACTATTCCTCCCACTGACACCAATGATGGGGCACGATTCCTCCCACTGACACCAATGATGGGGCACTACTCCTCCCACTGACACCAATGATGGGGCACTATTTCATCCACTGACACCAATGATGGGGCACTATTCCTCCCACTGACTAATGATGGGGCACTATTCCTCCTACTGACACCAATGATGGTGCCCCATCAATAGTGTCCGCGTGTGAGGAATAGTGTCCCATCATTAGTGTCAGTGGGAGGAATAGTGCCCCATCATTAGTCAGTGGGAGGAATAGTGTCCCATCATTTGTGTCAGTGGGAGGAATAGTGCCCCATCATTGGTATCAGTGGAAGGAATAGTGCCCCAGCATTGGTATCAGTGGGGAGAATAGTGCCCCCTCTTTGGTGTCAGTGGGGAGGAGGAATAGTGCCCCATCGTTGGTGTCAGTGGGGAGGAGCAATAGTGCCCCATCGTTGGTGTCAGTGGGGAGGAGCAATAGTGCCCCATCGTTGGTGTCAGTGGGGAGGAGCAATAGTGCCCCATCGTTGGTGTCAGTGGGGAGGAGCAATAGTGCCCCATCGTTGGTGTCAGTGGGGAGGAGCAATAGTGCCCCATCGTTGGTGTCAGTGGGGAGGAGCAATAGTGCTCCATCGTTGGTGTCAGTGGGGAGGAGCAATAGTGCCCCATCGTTGGTGTCAGTGGGGAGGAGCAATAGTGCCCCATCGTAGGTGTCAGTGGGGAGGAGCAATAGTGCCCCATCGTTGGTGTAAGTGGGGAGGAGAATTAGTGCCCCATCGTTGGTGTCAGTGGGGAGGAGAATTAGTGCCCCATCGTTGGTGTCAGTGGGGAGGAGGAATAGTGCCCCATCGTTGGTGTCAGTGGGGGAGGAACAGTGCCTCATCGTTGGTGTCAGTATGGAGGAGGAATAGTGCCCCATCGTTAGTGTCAGTGGGGGAGGAATAGTGCCCCATCGTTAGTGTCAGTGGGGGAGAGCAGCGGCTGCTCCTTCTTTCAGATTTTCGCGAGGCCGCTCGGCTCCGCCTCCTGGCCGGTGATTGGTCGCCTGTGTGCCTTTCCAGTGCTGACGCCCAATCACCAGTGAGGAGGCGGAGCCGAGTGGCCGCGCGACCATCGAGCGGCCGAACTGAAAGAAGAAGGAGCAGCTGCGCTTCCTGGACCGGATCGTCGTGGGACCGGGATCGGAGCCAGGTAAGGTACAGCAGCCCCTCTTGCCCACCCCTGTACTTAGTGTCCGTTGAAGGAGGAGGGGGTGGCGGCACCGCGCCGCCCCCCCCCCCCCCTCGAAAAAGTGCCGCCCTGACACCGGATCGCCGTATACCGGCGTATAAGACGACCCCCGACTTTTCAGAAGTTTTTCTTGTGTTGAAAAGTCGTCTTATACGCCGGAAAATACGGTATATATTTTTTATAGCTGAAAGTCAAAAATATTGTTTTTCTTCAAAATTTTTTATGTTTATAGCGTGAAAAATAAAAAGCGCACAGATGATCAAATACCACCGAAAGAAAGCTCTATTTGTGTGAATAAAAAGGACGTAAATTTCGTTTGGGTGCAGCATTGCATGTCCGCGCAATTATCAGTTGAATTAGTGCAGCGCCGAGTAGTAAAAAGAGGCCTGGTCATTAAGGGGGGTAAATCCTCTGGAGCTCAAGTGGTTAAACCAAAAATTTAATATATTACAGCTTACTAGTCCTTAACTACTTCAGCTCTTTGGACAATGCCGCTGTCTGAAAGTGTCTCCGTTTCTCCTCTATCCAGAGTAGAAATACCCAGGGGCGGACTGACCATTTGGAAACTCGGGCACTGCCCGAGGACCCGGGGTCAGTAGTGGGCCCCATGAGATGCCCCTGGTACCTTTTTCATAGGCTTTTTTGAGTTTGGGCAATGACACAGGGGCCCCATGATCCCCTATTGCCTGGGGGCCCCATGAGTTGTCAGTCCGCCCCTGGAGATACCCCAAAGCTAGTCATAGACTGAAATTCAGTTGGTTCAGCAGGGACCAACTTTATTTTGGTCAGTGTGTGTGATCATCCCTGTCTGACAGAAGCCAGTCATTAGATTGACTTTTCTCAAATGGAAGTTGAAAAACTTTTGCTGATAAGCAGACGCTGATCAGTGTATTCTGACAGTGCCTGGTCCCACTGTTAGAATACAATGTTCTGGCTGGGGGATTCTTTCATCTGCTTTGTGTCGATGGATAAATCTGTTTTTTTTTTGGGGGGGGGGGGGGGTTCAGCCCATTAGCAATAAATAAATAAATAAACAAATGCATCTTTGTGCAGCTTAAAGTGGAACTTTAGTCGGAAAATTATTTCCTGCCAGATCACTTCAGGCTGGCCCCTTTTGCAGGAATAAAACAATAAAAATAGATGCCTATACTGTTTAAAATCCAACAATACACTGTCTCACCCTGCTATGCACATGCTCAGTTGTGCTTTCCTTTTTTAGGCACTGTGCCAAATTTGTACAGGCTGGCCCGCTACCAGCCTAAAGCTTTAATGCTGCTCAGGGGCTCTGGGCTTCAGCAAAATGGAAGCCTCCAGCAAGGAAAAACAGGAACAATGCTGGAGGAAATTTACAGCACACACTAATTTTGGTAACATTATTGTTAATATGGAATGTATGTTCCTCGCTAAAGACCCAATATTCTTTATCAAGTTGTTATGGGTGAAGTTCCACTTTAAGGCAGGAGGTGTGTTACTGGCCATATCACCAGTCGAAAATAATAGAAAAAAATGCTAAAAGAGAAACTAAAGGTAGCCATCACATCTCAGAATTGGTACACTGCAATTCATTACATTTTTGTTTTTAACCCCTTGACGCCGACCGTACGCAAAAATATGGGGCCTTTCGGCGGCTGGGCATACCATTTGAAAACACATGTACTGAGAGCACGCACCATGCGCACTCCCAGCACATATGTCGGTGACTCATGGAAAGGT